AAGTGTTGTGCTATAGTCATACTGCCTCAGTATGACAGTGTGTTAATACAAATGGTATATAACTGTTCAGTTACTGTCTTTTGAGGGGGGGGGGTAGGTTTCTCTGCCTTACTGCCAGCAAGTTTAATATTCTGTTCCTTGTTCTTATTCTTTAATTCATTATGGTATTTAAAAAAGAAATGGGTGGGAGGATGAGGATGGAATTAGTTTCTCGAATGATTTGAAAATATTTGGTTTCTTCCTTTGTGTTAATTTTAAGAGAACAATAATTCACAACCGGATCACTTCTGTACTGAAATGCATCTTCAAAGTTCTGGCAGAAGTCCAAAACATCATAACCAGCTTAAGACCATTTTTTGTTTTTGTGTGCTAAACATAACACTTGAAGGCTACTGTGCTTTCATGGTGACTATAATCAATGTCAGAGCTCTTCCTGTTAGGGCTGCTCTTGAAGTCTTTAGAATATGCAGTTGTACATGCCTTGGACCAACCTCTTCTTAGAAGGAAACAAAATGTATGAGTGTAGCGGGCATTTACATCTTTTGCAGAGAGATGGTATGCACCATATCTAGAAGCATGGAAGGCAAATATGTGAATCATGCAAGCTGTCTTTTTCACTAAGTGTGAAGTGGCCCTTGGTTGGTGTCATGTCAAAGGCTCATTACTCTCTCAAATGCTACATAAGAATATTCTTATGTTCTTATGTTCCAACACTCTCCAAAAACTCTCCAACGCTCCAACAAAGGCTCATTACTCTCTCAAATGCTACATAAGATTGTTCTTATGCTCATGTTCCAACACTCTGTCACACAGTGGCCAAATATACCAGGTGCCATCAGGAGGTCCACCAGTGGGGCCAGGACATTAGAAGCCCTCCCACTGTTGACCCCCCCCAAGCACCAGGAAGACAGAGCATCACTTGCCCCAGAGTCCCTATCTATACCTTGTGGCTAATAGCCACTGATGGACCTCTGCTCCATATGCTTATCTAATTCCCTTTTGAAGCCGTCCATGCTTGTAGCCGCCACCACTTCCTGTGGCAGTGAATTCCAAGTGTTAATCACTCTTTGGGTGAAGAAGTACTTCCTCTTATCCGTTCTAACCCGACCGCTCAGCAATTTCATGGAGTGCCCACGAGTTCTTGTATTGTGAGAAAGGGAGAAAAGTACCTCTTTCTCTACCTGCTCTTTCCCATGCATAATCTTATAAACCTCAATCATGTCACCCCTCAGTCGTCGTTTCTCCAAGCTAAAGAGCCCTAAGCGCCTTAACCTTTCCTCATAGGGAAAGTGTTCCAACCCTTTTATCATTCGAGTTGCTCTTTTCTGCACTTTTTCCAAAGCTATAATATCCTTTTTAAGGTGTGGTGACCAGAACTGCACACAGTATTCCAAATGAGGTCTCACCATTGATTTATATAGGGGCATTATTATATTGGCTGATCTGTTTTCAATACCCTTCCTAATAATCCCCAGCATAGCATTGGCCTTCTTTATTGCAGTCACACACTGTCTCGACATTTTCAGTGAGTTATCCACTACAACTCCAAGATCTCTCTCTTGATCAGTCTCTGCCAGTTCAGACCCCATCAACGTGTATTTATAGTTAGGATTTTTGGCTCCAATGTGCATCACCTTGCACTTGGCCACATTGAACCCCATTTGCCATGTTGACGCCCACTCGCCCAACTTTGACAGATCCCTTTGGAGTGCCTCACAATCCTCACTGGTTTTCACCACCCTGAACAACTTCGTATCATCCGCAAATTTAGCCACTTCACTGCTTACTCCCAACTCCAAATCATTAATGAACAAGTTAAAAAGCAGTGGACCAAGTACTGATCCCTGCGGTACCCCACTGCTTACCACCCTCCACTGAGAAAATTGCCCACCTACACTCACTCTCTGTTTTCTATGAACTAGCCAGTTTTTGATCCATAAAAGGACTTGTCCTTCTATCCCATGATTTTTGAGCTTACTTAGGAGCCTTTGATGAGGAACTTTATCAAAAGCTTTCTGGAAGTCAAGGTAAATAATATCTATTGGATCCCCCTTGTCCACATGTTTGTTCACCCCCTCAAAGAACACTAACAGGTTAGTGAGACAAGATCTTCCCTTACAGAAACCGTGCTGAGTCTGCCTCAATAGGTTTTGTTCATCTATGTGCCTACTAATTCTTTCCTTAATAATGGTTTCCACCAATTTACCCGGTATCGACGTCAGACTGACAGGCCTGTAATTTCCCGGATCTCCTCTGGAACCCTTTTTAAAGATGGGAGTGACATTAGCTACCTTCCAGTCCTCAGGAATGGAGGCTGATTTTAAGGAGAGATTACATATTTTTGTCAGGAGATCCACAAGTTCACAATTGAGTTCTTTCAGAACTCTTGGATGTATGCCATCTGGGCCTGGTGATTTTTCAGTTTTTAAGTTGTCTATCAGTTTTAGGACCTCCTCTCTCGTCACCTCAATCTGACTCAGGTCTTCCAACACCCCTCCTGAAATCAGTGGTTCTGGAGTGGGCAAGCACTTCTCATCTTCCACAGTGAAGACGGAGGCAAAAAATGCATTTAGCTTCTCAGCCATTTCCCTATCATCCTTCAATACTCCTTTTACCCCTTGGTCGTCCAAGGGCCCCACTGCCTCCCTGGCTGGTTTCCTGTTTCTAATGTATTTGAAGAAAGTTTTATTGTTGGTTTTTACGTTTTTTGCTATATGCTCCTCATATTCCCTTTTTGCATGCCTGACCACAGACTTGCATTTTATTTGCCATAGCCTGTGTTCTGTTTTATCAGCCTCACTGTGACTAGCTTTCCACCGCTTAAAGGAATCCTTTTTACCTTTTACAGCTTCCATTACTTTGTTTGTTAACCATGTAGGCTTTTTCTTATACCTGTTTGTGCCTTTCCTAACCTGCGGAATATATTTTATTTGAGCTTCTAGAATTGTAGTTTTAAACAGTTTCCAAGCTTCCCCAATGGTTTTGACCCTTTCTACTTTTCCCTTCAGTTTCCTCCCCACATGTCCCCTCATATCAGAAAAATTACCCCTTTTAAAGTTAAAAGTGGTTGTGTGAGTCTTTTTGGCCAATTCTCTATTTGTACAAATGATGAACTCAACAACATTATGATCACTGTTCCCAAGCGGTGCAATCACTTTTACATCTCTCACCAGGTCTTGAGTGTTACTTAGGACCAAATCAAGGATCACCTCTCCCCTGGTAGGTTCCGTGACCATCTGCTTCATAGCACAGTCATTTATAGTGTCTAGAAAATCTCTTTTTCTCGACTAGAACACATATTGACCCAATCAATGTGTGGGTAGTTAAAATCACCTATTATGACACAGTTTCTTTGTCTAGCTGCTATCTTTAATTCATTCATCATTTTATAATCCTCCTCTATCTTTTGATCTGGTGGGCGATATATAAATTTGGGGGGAGGTAGGTATTATTTTCTATAGCAGCAAAATAGCTGCTGAGAACCAAAACGGGAGGGAAGTGTAGTATTTCCTCCCTTGAAGAAGAAAAATGGAGAAGTGGATTGGAATGACTTCTGTCTCTCCCTAAATGCAAAAAAGTGTCTGAGGCAGAAGGCTGCCCACATCTATTCCCAGGAAATATTGGTAGCAGAGAGCAGTGTCCAGGCATGAGTTCTCAGCTAGCCAGTGCTGAAAGTTAGCATGAAAAGAAGCAAGAGGCTTAACTCTCTGTCTTAAATAGGGGAGAGGGGATTTGCATGGAGGCGGCACACCCTCAAGTGTGCTTTGTCTGAGCTCAGTCTCCCTATACAAAGGATCCTTTACACAGTGATAAGGAACCTCCCCAAAAAGTTTAAAGGTGTTTGAGTGTGTGTGTGTGTGTGTGTGTGTGTGTGTGTGTGTGTACGCGTGCATGTGAAAGTGGGGATGAATGTGGCTTGTCTCTGAGGCCAATTTCCTATACCTCCCAACTACTTCTCCCTTCCCCCTGAAATTTTTTAAACAGGTCCTCAGAAGTTGAATTCTAAACGTCTCTGTTCTAGCTATACATCCTTTTGGAATTTGACAAATTTCTACTCTATGTTCATATGGTTTTACATTACCTCCTGTGTTTCATAATTGGCATAGTATTGTGAGGGCTATTGTTGTAGGTAAGGTCTATGTGGTGTGTTTTGGCAGGATAACATATTCCTATACATAAGCTCCTAAATTTTATTGGATATATGTTTTTCAATTTATCTGTGATGGTGGCTCAGCTGAAAACTGAGCTCTAGTCCGTATTCTGAGGGGAAACTGTTTTCCTCAAATAAATCAGTGTGTGACAGATGGGACATCTCAAAATTGTGTTAATCTAGATTTATAAGAAGATCTGGATAAAATGAGTTGCCATGCAGAGTTCTCTCTCTGTCAGACCTAAATGTGAAATCCTTCCACTATATGACAATTAAAATTTTTTGAATGCTTTGCTGACATTTTTATTTTGAAATGCTTATATCACAGTACATTTTTGTATTGTAGGAATTTAAAAGATATAGTTCTAATGTATAATGTTTCCCAAACAGACTTCAGTGATTGGCTCCATCAGTAGTGGTATATTTCTGTCAAAACTTTAGATTAAAAATCCTATTCATATTTCTTGGGATTTAATGCTGAGTGAACATACATAGAAACAGGCTCTCCACATTGTAAAGACATAAAACTTCTTTTTGGGGTAATTTGTTTGGTTTGTCTTAAGTTTGTGCTAAAATGGTAAGATTAGAATTCCTGCAATGTCTCTCAGATATAATGAATGCAGCCAACTTCCCCCCAGTTTGGGTATTTGCATCTGGTAATTCAGTCATATTGTGAACTCTGGAAATGCAACAATCTGTGTTGGATAATTGCTACAATCCAAAGTTAGAAGGTCATTATTGGAATTGGGGCTATATTGGCAATAATTGTATTAGTGAATGTGTTGGGATTGGTACTACCACATGAACGGTGCATATGCATGCTTTATCTAATGATTTACTCTCTATTTAGGATCCTTCAGTTACACAAGTGACAAGAAATATTCCTCCAGGACTAGATGAATACAATCCTTTCTCAGATTCCAGAACAGTAAGCATTCCTTGTTGTGGAATCCTTTTTAAAATAAATGTTGAACTGAGTACGATTCTACAAACCTTTTAAAATGAAACATTGAATTGATATTAATTTTGACCAATCATGTTTGTAGCAGCCTATTAAAGTCACTTATGATAAAGAATTCAACATTCATAAAATACTAGCATAAGAACATAAGAGAAGCCAATGTTGGATCAGGCCAATGGCCCATCTAGTCCAACACTCTGTCACACAGTGGCCAAAAATACCAGGTGCCATCAGGAAGTCTGGCAGTGGGGCCAGGACACTAGGAGCCCTCCCACTGTTGCCCCTCCCCAGCACCAAGAATACAGAGCATCACTTGCCCCAGACTGAGAGTTCCTATCTAGGCTGTATTACAGAAGTTTGCATTTAATAAGTGTAGATCAGTGTCTGCTCAAAGAACTGCCCGATGAGGTCTGAGGGGGCAATAAAATTCTCACACTCCAAAATTCCATCCAGCATAAGTTTGGCTTGCTCTGTGCTGAAACCCTGGCCTCTGTTATGAATAGGGTTGCTAGCTCTGGGTTGGATATACCTAGGGTTGCCAGGTCCCCTCGTTGCCCCAGTGGGGAGATTTGGGGCCTGCTGACCAGCTGGAGGGCCCTCCTAGCAGGAGGAAGGGAGAGGGGTGGGCTCGGGCCACATGTTTGCGAGTGGGGTAGAGGCCGCAATGCACGGGGCTGGGGGAAATCAGCCCTGCATGCCACAACCCCCACCCCACTCACTGGTCGGCAGGCCATGTGATTCCCACAAATCACCTAAAGCCCTTTAAATTTGGCAGGAGGGGAAGGAGTCGGGTGGCTGGGTGGGTGGTTACTCTTGGAGGTGGGGCTTGGGGGCACAGATTTCCCCCAACTACCAGAAGCAGGGGAAACCCCACCCGTACCTGGGGGCTGGCAACCCTAGATATACCTGGAGATTTTGGGGGTGGATCCTGGGGAGGGCAGGGTTTGGAGAGGGGAGGGACTTCAATGGGATATAATGTCATAGAGTCCACCTTCCAGAGTGGCCATTTTCTCCATCTGAACTGATCTTTATCACCTGGAGATCAGTTGTAATCCCAGGGGATCTCCAGCAGCCTCCTGGAGATTGGCAACCCTAATTATGAAACAAGCATGATCCCAAGATTTACATTAAGATTTCATTTCCAAGTTGTTCTAGTTATTGAATGGGCTGCATGCAAGGAGAGGAGGAAGAGCCTGAGGATTACCTAGGTTCATTCACAAAAAGACAAATCATGGTTTAGTGTTGTATCTGAATTGTTCATTGATCACTGTCAAATTTCAGGTGTTTTTGGTAAGGGTAGTTTGTCAATGGTTAAAGTACACTAAAGAGGAAGAGAAAAGAGATTTGAGGAGAACCTGGGAAGGTAACGGCAGTGTGACAGATAACTGCTAAGTGTATGCTTGGCAGTCTCCCTGTTAACTGTAACTTCCACATGCCCTGTAGGCTACTGTTGAAGAATGACGTCCAGTGCTACTAACTGGGAAATATTCTACTTATATACAGCACACTATGCAGGAGGTGGATATGAGAGATATTAAACAAAATCATGCACACTGGGTGGGTACAGTTGCCCAAGGAACAGTGTGGGGATGGAGTAGAGAGGGTAATACCAGGATTTAATTATCAGTTGGGAGGATTCATAAAACAAGAGTCATTTTTCTGTTGGGTGTTGGAAAAGTGTCTGTCATGATAGTGGGCATATTTTTTCTTAGATGGATCCCTTGTTTTTGGAAGTGGATAGGAAAATACAACAGATGGTGCCCACCTTTATTAATTGCTTAGGTTATGCTGAGAATTAAACAACTGACACAAGGCCACTGAGTTATTGATTTGAACCCGGGTCTCCCTAGTCTTAGGTATGACGCTCTAGCCATGATGCCACTTTCTCTTTCTATGGGCTAATCAGATTGAGATGATACATTATGAAATGAGAACTATTCCAGTCTCTTGATGACTGCTGTTACCTTAAAGTTTTTCTCAGTAATGATCTCTATCAGATTATGCCTGGTTTACTAGCAAGACTGTGTGAATACCACTAGTGAGAATTTCAGTTGGCAATTTATCTCTCTGCAAGCAATAGTTTGTTTTGACACAATTTTTATATTACCCGTTCTGTCTCTGGCCATACACTTAAAACTAGTGTTTCCTGTAAGCTAAATAAATTTGAGCTAGCTCACAGTTTTTTAGCTTCCGGCTCACACATTTGCGCCTTAGCTCGGGAAGGACGGCTTCAGAGCAAACTAATTTATGCAGCAGCCAAATCACTTGCTCACAACCTTAATGCCGGTAGCTCACAAAGTAGAATTTTTGCTCACAAGACTCCACAGCTTAGAGGGAGCATTGCTTAAAACTGGTTGATATCTCCAGCTTTATTGAAGGATTACATAATTAGTGTATTTTGAGGGTTCCAGTATTAATAATATGTTACCATTATTCTAAACTAACCTGTTAGTGAGCCTGCATATAAGCTTTCAAGGAAAATGGGATTTTTTTCAGGCCAAATATATATGAAAAGTTAGCTGACTCTCAGCTATATGACGAGCTGTATAACATATTGAGCAAGACTGTTCTGATAGTATAATGGAAAGCATGGTACTTGACAGAACATGCAGATACATTTCAAGTATCTTCTGAGTTTTTTTTAATGTAACAGATATATTTGAATCCAGTGTTGGTCTCTAAGGTGCTACTGGATTTGGATCTGTCTCTACTACTGCAGACCAAAATGGCCATCCTCTGAAACTGTCTTTTAAAGGTGAAAACTCACAATTTATTTGATATTTATATGCATACAGCGCTTGTACATTGTGCCTTGTGCAGGTATGATTTTTGTGAAGGCGTGTGCTATAAAGGCATGTGCTATAAAGACATGCTAATTTTTTCACATAATTTCATATTTATGTTTTGTGGTTATTATTTTCAAAAGCCGCTGTAAGGAACTATACTTATTAATCAGGGCAGACTTTCCAGAGTACATTTCATCAAAGTTCTTTGTTCAGCTAGCGCCAGCAATGTGGTTCAGAAAACTTTCTTGTAACTTTAATTGCAGTCAGATTGTCTGTATTCATATGCCAATTTAACTTTGGCTAAATAAAAAATGTGCATGAATCCGGCTTGTGCCAGGCTTCAATGTGCACCTGCCTCCTCCCCTCTTCTCTTCTTCAGCCGCATTTTAAACACTGTTTTGGCTTCATTAGCATGTATTGCCAGGTAACTGTGGTCTTGCATTTTGTAGCTTGTACTCCTTGGATTTGTTTTTGTTCTGTGGAAAAGAACAGTCTAAACCACATTTATGCAGTGTTTGCAGATTCTCATATGGTGAACAGCACATAAGTTTAGTGCACTCCTTATGTATGAAACATAAAAGTTCATAAAACTGTTATGTTTTTACCCCTAGTTACTGTCAGCACGCAGTATTCTTCTAGTTATATGAATATATGAAGTCCCATTAGCTTCATAGAACAAACGTCTATAGTACTGATATTGAGACAAGACAAAGACTATATGATGACAGTCCTTTTCATAAGGACATTTTTCTTATGTTGCTGTAGGTTAAAATATCTGTAAAAATATGTTCAGCATGTTCATGTCCTTGTCTAGAATATGGGCAAGATAATGATGCTGAGACCACAATAAAGGAGAGTACTGTATCTTCTGTAGAAACAGAAGAAAGCTGTTTTTCCTTTCCTGCTTTTCCTGCTTTTCCCCGCTGATGGCTCAGTGTGTGTAAAATTTACAAACTTTGTGGTTGAAATTGGCTTGTGTATGGTACACTCCTTGCAGCCTTGATCTTGCATTACAGCAATGCAGAAACCTTTCACGTGTTTGTATTTAAACTTACATTTGAATAGACTCTTTTAAAACTGTGTAGAAAAGTGCAGTAAACCAAAAGCAGACTTTTGATCTGTTTAGCATGCTAATCTATGCAAATAACAGGAAAAAGATCTCAATAGTTTTTGGAGTCTCTCTGCTGAGCTATTGTCAGCACTAGCAAACAGGCTGTGATACCTCTTGGATCTAGGCATTTGTGTTCTGGATAATAAGCTTGTCTTTTCCATGCTTGAACCATTTTGCTATACTTGATATTAGAGTTCAATTGTTTAAAGGAGTGGATTCAGACCGATTTTCCCCCAAAAGAGCATAATAGTGAATTCTTTAGTTTCCTGATTTTTTTTAATTCCTTGCCTATTGTTGTTCATGGCCTGTTGTAATCAGACTGGAAGAAGATATTGTTAATTAAATCTTTAAGTCTGTAAAATGTGCAAAGAACCAGTGCTGGTAATCATTCACAGTATTTTTGTATTATGTTATGAATTAATATAAAATATTGCACCTTACATATGTGAGATAACATGCCAGAATTCAGAGAGATATTTTAGGTCCCCAGGATCTATGCTTAACAGTATAATGTTAGCTTTTCCCCCTCTGACCTATAGACTCATATCCCATGTCACAAACTGCTTTTGAATTTCCCTGAAGGAATGTATATATAGAACAATCACTTCCATGTTTATAAAGGGTCTGCAGGCAGCCCTTTATATTTTAATTTTAGCAATATTTGTGTTTGTACTATTTGTTACTGATTATTATTCTGTACATTTAAAATACAATTGTTATTGCGAAGCTTAACTTAGGGTTTAACAGAGATGGCCAATATGCCTTATTCCAGTATAGTAACATTCACTTAGCCAGGGTTTTGGATCATAAAGCCCAGGGACTTTACCAGCCTCTATGGGCTTCTTCTTTTCTGCATGTGGCATCCCTGCCACATTCTATACATATTACTGAGCCATGATTGGGAAGCTGATGCCTTTAGTAGGATTAACAAAATGATTTAGCAACAACTGTTATGGAATGCTCCTGCATCATCTTTCCCCCTATTCTATGCTAAAGAGCACAGAAAGTATAGGAGAGTAAATTAAACTGCATTGGAGCACAGCACAGTTGCTAACTGCCACAAAGTGGTG